CACGGCCGCCTGCATGATGGACCTGCGGAGGTACCCCCTGGACCAGCAGAACTGCACGCTGGAGATAGAGAGCTGTGCGTACGCCCCCCCCTCGCCCCCTGGTGCCACCCACCCCAGGTTCCCGCTCATGGCATGCCTCCCAGGGCGGTTACGGGCCACCCTCCAGTAGGTCCTCCTGGCACAGGACTAAGGTGCCTCATCCAAACTCCATCCCGAGGGACAGAATGCCCAGGAAAATGGATCACTAGCAGCAGGCTGGGCGTTAAAATCACTCCCACCCTTGGGAGGGTGGTGGAAGCCTCCCTTAGCCCTAAGAAAGCCCTGGGAGCCTGCCCTGGCTCATGGCTGGCCTCACTTTGCATGGGAGGTGGGACCCAAACCCTCCTGCAGTCCCTCCCCGCCAGGATCTTCCCCTGACTCCTATGGAAAGCCCCTGCCGACCGCGCTGGTGGAGGAGGTCCAGCTGTCCCTCATCAAAATGCACCGCGGTATCCCCCCAGGAGCGGTCCAGTGCAGCAGATCTCACAGTAATGATGATGCAGCTTCAGTGGTAACTACCAGAGAGCTGCTTTTTTCATAGCAGAGGTCCGACAGCATCCGCAGTTGGAAGGTGTCGTGCCACCTTACCGGCCCTGCCTGCGCCTGGGAACCCGTTCCCGCTCGGGATGCGCAGCCATGGCAGAGCTTGGGTAATGGGATGCGAATTAGGTGTTGCTGGAGGCACTTATGTCATGTCATTTCTGGCACTCCTTGGCATTTTGAGAATAGTTTATGGTACAGCCAAGAAAAGAGAAGGCAGGGAATTACCCACAGTTCCTCATGTTGTGATTTTGTTCTTAATGGGTCATGTCAAGCCCATTTGTTAGTCATAGGTACGTTTCCTTACAATATTCCTAAGATCCACGCAGAGATGAAGCGATTCGAATGTTCTCTTCCTCAGAGCTTTTGTCTTTTACACAGTTGTGCATTCAAAAGTCTACAGGGTTCCATTTTGTTTGCTTCCAAGTCCACACAACTCTGGAATAACAGTCCTTTTATGGCTGGCTTAAAAACCAAAGCGAGTATATATATATATATAAAAAAAACAAACCCAACCCAAACCAAAACACCAAAATAGCCCTTTTGCAGTGCAGGGATGCTGGGTTTGTAAAGCAGCAGGAGGTAGCTGGGCTTTCCTTCCCCTCAGCATCCCGGGGCACTTAGCTGCAGGAGGTAAGCCAGTGCTGGCACTGCCTGGTGATCCCATCTCTCCATCCCAAAACTATCCCTCACCACATATGCCCCTGCCTAGCTGTGTGCCAGGATTCAACAAAAACCCGACGAGGCAGGCAGCAAACAGGCTGTTAATCTGACATTATAAGTCGTCGTATCAATACTTTATGATATTTCAGGTTGTCTTTGTGAAAGTTCTTTTACTTTTTAAAAGTAAAATGGAAATTTGGTTTTCTTTTTAAAGCTGGAAATCAAAGCGAAGCACTTATTTTTAGACTGAACAATCTTTTCCTTTAGAATCGCTTTAAAAAATGGCTTCCTGAAAAACATGTTTGAATTCATATTGCATAATGCCATAACAAAAAAAATACAAAGATCGGTACCCAGTACCAGCAAGTCATAGGGTAAGTGGAATAGAGCTAGTTAACTGTGAGATCTCCTAAAATTAGTTACTGTAATTTGACATTTTCATTGCTGATCAGGAAGTAAATTTGAAGTCACTGCTGTTAAATTTGTGGATGATGAAGATAGCAGCCTGCGTGGCTCGCTCGCTGCACATTTGAATACCTCCCAGTCGGAATACATCCAGAATGCTTTTGGATGCAGCTAAATGCGGAGGTCTGTGCCTGGGCGCGGGAGCGCGGGCCAGGCTGCCAGACGGAGGGGCTCGTACCCGCGCGGGTACCACGGGGGGAAGTGATGGAGGGGTGGCAGCCCCCAGCACCGCTGCTGGAGGTTGCGTGGCGAAAGGGCTGGAGTGAGCCTTGGTTATATAAATCAGGGGAGCCGTGAGTCAGAGCAGGGAATCGACTGGCCTCTGGATGAGATGGGGAAAGGGACTCTGCCTATGTTTGGTTTCCAAAATTTGGAAAGGAATCTGAGAAGTCAGAAGAGGTTGAGAAAAGATACTAAAAAAGCGGTTCAAGGGCTAGGGCAGATGTTTTGCAGTAAGAACCCTCAGTAGCTCAGCCGGGTTTGTTTACTGCAAAGGAGGTGGGGAGGTGACTTGTTTACAGGCTGGGTGCACCAATGCAGAGGGGAGCGCTGGGTGGAAAGGGCTTGATCGCCTCCTGGAAAAATTCAGAATATGCACCAGAGTCTGAAAGTCTGAGCCAGGTGAATTCGGATGTAAAATCACACACACTCTGCAAGAGTGTTTGAGGCACTGTGAGGAGTGGGGGGCTTGGCTGCTTTTTGCTGCTTTCCACACTTGGTCTCAGGGCTCTGGGAGAGACGCTGCAGCCAGATGCAAATACCAGTTCCCGTGCACAAAGCTGGGACACTCGAGGAAGCACAACAGCCTGCGACACCCCAATGTCTGCAGCAGATAGGCTGATAACCTGAGGGTCCTGAATCTCTCTGGGCTTGTGGGTGGGTGTGGGTGCTTTCCCACTTACTGCCATGGGAGCAGGAGCATGCCACGGGGGGAGGAGGTGGAGCCCTGGCTGAGTTGATTTACATCAGAAGCAGATCTGGCATGGCATTTGGAAGATTGTTATTATTTTTTAGCACCCATGAATAAGCGCATAATGACTGAGGATGCAGGATGTGGGCTTGAAGAGTACAGAGTCATCAAATAATTCAGTTTGGGAGGAGACCTCAGGGTGTCTCTAGTCCAGCTTGCAGCTCAAAGCAGGGTCAGCTGTGAGATCAGACCAGGTTTCTCAGCTCTTTGTCCACTTGGGAGCTGCAGGATGACACCATCCTCAAAGGTTCAGATCTGATACAGGATAATCCTTGGCCCCTAAGGCCTAGGTAGAAGAATTTCTCCTCCATGGTGGAGCTTTTCATTCCCTTGATCCCGCTAACACACTGATGCTGCTTTGGTGGCAGCTCTCCGTCACCGATGTTAGCCTTGCTGGGTATTGCTAGCCAACTGCCTCTCTGCTGCGAGGGCTTGTGGATAAGGCAGGTGGTCGTGCTGCAGTGCAGGCTGTGAATAAAAGCTGTCTGTGGGCACAGGTGAAGTTCGTGCTCTAAAGGAAGCCTTGTGCCATGTTGTACCCAAGCTTGTACGTATCCTACTGCCTCTTTGCACGCAGAGGTGCTCCTGTCAGCTCTGCACTGTGCTCAGAAGAAGAGGCCAGCCTCTGCACAGCAGCAGCTGCAGTGCTTCAAAACCCAGCTTGCCATGAGTGGCATTCATTTCCAGGTAGAGATGAATCCTTACCCACAAGGGCAGCAGGCAGGGCTGTCAACATCACACTGATGGGAGGGGAGCTGCGTGACTTTATCCCCTGGGCCTCATTCTCCATGACTCTGGAGCACCTGGGCAACCTTTTTCCTGGGACTGTGGCTTTGGGCTCCTCAGCACTTCCAGCCTGTGCAGCCCTGTCTGGCACGTAAGGTTTGGGGTTAAAATAAGAGGCTGTATCCTTGGCTGGGCTAACAAATCCATCACCCTGAAATGTAAGGGGTGAGTATGTGATAGCGGCCTGACTCCCCCCTTCTCCCATCACTGCTCTTTTCAGCCAGCACTTGGTATAAGCAGCCCCTGATCTCAGAGACTCTGTCCACTGCAAGGCTCCGAATTTTGTCTGAAAGTGTGTAGAAGAGGGAGATGCTCTGATGCTCGAGTTTCTCTTCAGCTGCTCCTGTAAATCTTTTTCTCTCTGGGAATTTTTAATGCTTAGATGCTGTTTCCCTTGTCCCCACCAGAATGCGTTGTGTGGCCTCCCCCTTCTGGCAAAAGGACGTAGTTATTAAAAGGCACAATGCCGTGTTTGGTGCATTTGACAGAGGTTTCTGATGCACAAGTCCCTGTCATGTCAGCTATGGAGATTATGAAGAGCACGGCAAGGCTTGATGGGCCACTTCTCACCATTTTCTCCTGAATTCTAGCCAGAAGTGGGAGTTCCGACGAATTTTTTCCTCTTCTCCTGGGGACTGTATTGCCAAGCTCAGCTGAAGAAGGAACGTACGACAGGCGGGAGGGGCTACGCTTGCTATCTGACAGTGTGGGCTTTTCCTTGGATTCTCTTCCAGATCACCTTAGTGATAATGATAATCTTCTCTAGCTTGTCAGCTTAGTTGTCTCCCTGTGCTTCTTCATCTCTGCAGATGGTTACACGGTTGATGACATTGTCTTCTTCTGGCAAGGAAATGATTCTGCTGTCACAGGGATGGAGGTGCTAGAACTGCCCCAGTTCACCATTATCGAGCAGAGGCTGGTCAGCAGGGAAGTGGTCTTCACCACCGGTGAGTCTCTGCTGAAGGGGTGTGCCAACCTTCTGCTGGTCAACGTCAGTGCAGTCGCTCCCCTGATTCAGGTGCTGAGGCAATAATTTAGGATCTAAATTCAACTAAGGGTCCTGTTCCCTTGGAAAAGAGGCATCTTCTGTACCCACTGAGTTTGCTTTTACTTATTTATTTAGTTTGGCTGCTTCTCTTCAAAGACTTATGGGATCTTTTTTTTCTTTTTTTGCTGCAGTTGTTTTTGTTTCTTAGTCAAAAGACCAACTCCGCTCAAAACAGAACCTCTTTAGAAGGTTCTCAGGCTTTACCTTATTTTTATGTGCTTTACAACTGATTCTCAAAGGTAATGTGGGTGCAATAGTAAGCAGAGGAATATATCAGTTGAAAAGCAAGCGACCTATGAAACGATGCAAACCCATCTGTGCACGGCAATAAAAAGATCTGGAGAGAGTATCTTGGACGATTCAGATACTGCCAGTTGGGAAGTTGGAGGGGTTTGGATTTTGGTTGCTGTCTTCACTTTGATCTGGCATGGAGTTCACTGCCAAAACAGCGTGCCACATACCTGTTAAATAGGCCAATTTTTGAAACGCCATGAAATCACAGCCTGAGTTATCAGGAGTGGTGGCAGATGGTGATGTTGTTACACTAGTGCCTCAGGGGCGTGCTGGGAGCAGGGTCCCAAAGCAATGGCAATCTAGAGACCCACAACAAGAGGCAGTATTCCTCCTAAAGAAGTTTGAGTCTAAATAGGTAAAACCTTAAAAAAAAAAAAGAAAAAAGACTGGTGAAACAGCGTTCAAGCTACACAAATGGCACATAATGGTGAGAGAACATAACCTCCTTTTTCCCAGACTACCTCCTTGATCATTAAAGACTGTTGTTCTCTTGTTCTTTAGCAGCCAACACACGATTACACCCCGGTTTCAGGCTGCTGTGTTGCCTCAGGGATGGAGGTGGGAAGAAGCGATGCTTTCTTTCACAGCAATGAGAGAGGCCCTGCTTTGTCCCCGTCAAAATGACCCTGCTCCAGTGGAAGGACTGTCAGAGTACTTATTGCTGTCACTATCCCCGTTAGATTTGCTGAAAGATTAGGAGGAAGTTGCAACTTGGAAAAAAAAAATACTTACAGATTCACTAACGGTACTCTATTTGCATATGAATTTGCCCACTCTGACCATAACCCATTTTTAGAACAGCATGGGAAAAATACGATTCAGATCTTCACTGCTGTTCGGGGGAAAAACTAGCACATGAAATGTTGGAAAATCATCTCAATGCATCCAGATATAGGGTTAAAGTCTCCTGTGTGAGCCTGTATCAAATGGGCACATACCATAATAACAATTTCAGAGCTGAACAGACGTTGTCCCATGATGGCTGATATAATAATGTAACTTACGTAGAGTTTCCTTTCTTCTTAATATTCTGAGCCAAGTGAGCAGACTCCAAGAGCCCCCTTCCAAAAACTGATGAGTCTGCAAAATCAGATGTTGAAAAAAGAGAGATTTCTCATTATCCCTGCCCCTTGAGAACAGTTTCCAAACAAAATTTCAGTTCCTAACCTAAGCCATAAACACAGCCTTGCCCTCCTCTCAAACAACATCTCCCTTTAATATCTCATGGACAGGTTCATATCTGCGCTTATCCTTGAGTTTCCGGATTAAGAGGAACATTGGTTACTTCATCTTGCAGACTTACATGCCATCTATTCTCATCACCATCCTGTCCTGGGTTTCCTTCTGGATCAATTATGATGCTTCTGCTGCACGAGTGGCACTAGGTACGTACCTTTTCATTCTATGTTGAAGAAGGGGGGTCTTCTGAGGAAGATCCGCTAGGACAGCTGTAGCAAGGAAAACACCTTTTTCTTTATGAGGTAGAGGCTAAGCAAGCCACATAGTTCTGTCAAACTTATCATCCTAAATGAAGGACATTTTTTCTGAGAACAAACTTGAAATTTTCAGCCAGAAAAGCTACCCTTTTAGTTCAGAAGTGTCGGTAATTCCCAAGCTTGAGTCTGTATTATTTGAACCAGTGGAAGTTCTGCCATCAATTTCTGTGGATGCGAGTTTAACCTCTATAACAAAAGCATGAATGGTCACAGCTTCTCAGACACATGAGACCCTGGCATGCCATGAGCCCACCAGTTCCTTCACTCTGGTCTGTACTCGTTTTCTTAAGAAGAGAAATCTGGGGACCTCTTGGTCAATGAGTGTGCCAGGACCGGTTCGTTGGAGGATAGATGCTGAGAGTGGTTGGTCAAAGAGTAGGAAAGAACACTGAGTGAATGGCTTAAAGATGAAAAAAATAAAGGAAGTGGCATTACACATTTTCATGATAGTTTAGGCCCCATTCAGACACTTTTTGCAGCTGAAGACCTTCCTAACCAAAGAAAATGTGGGACAGTAGTCAGAGTCCAAGTTATTCTTAAGCACATGCTCCCCTAAATAGGAATGTTTTCCTATAAGAGAAAAAAATGAGATCTTTTAAGCAACAGAAGGGAAGTGGGGGTGGATTGCAGATGAGGATTTTGAAGAAGGAACAGGAGAAAGGAGGGGGGTGTGTGGCTGTCATGAGAATGGGGCTGTGCAACATGGTAGAAAGTTCAGAGGCAATAGGAAAGCCAAGGAAGTAGAATGATTTCATCTGTGAAGGAAAAGGCTCAGAGAGGCAGTGGAGCACAGGTAGAGGCTGGGTCTTACAGAAAGAGTTGGGGGCTTTAATTAGCTCTAGGAGAAGACAGAGTTTGAGAAGACTCAGAGGAGGGATGGCTTGTACAAAGATATAAAACAGATAATTTGGCTGTGCTTGTTTGGAGAGGCTGGAGCAGGGAGACGGGGAGGGAACAAGAACATGGTAAATTAAAAAGGTAAGTTGCATTGACAAGAGTATAATCAGTGGGAGAAGAAAAAGAGACCACGGCAGACATTGCTGGCACAGTGAAAGTACAAGCAGAAGGGTGGACATGAGATGCACAGCTGTTGAATTTCTACTGACATCTGGATTCAAAGAAGACACAAGAAAAACATTGTAGATCAGAACTGGAACAGCTCTCCCTAAACTATTCCTGACAGCTCTCTGTCTAACTTGTCCTTAAAAAGCTCCGAAGAAGGACACTCCACAGCCTCCTCTGGGCACTTTATTTCCAGCTTTATGTGTTTGTACAGACAAAAAGCTCTTCTTTGCTTCTGTCCGAAGTCTCCATTGCAATTTGTCTAGTTCTTAATGGAGAAGTGGAGAACATTCTATTCCTCCTTTCTTTACCCCAGAATTCTGGATATTTAGACTACTGTCTAAATATAGACAATATAATATGGTGTATGCATATAAATACATCTCCCTTCCATTTACTGTTCTGTGAACTGAAGGCTATTAGTTCTTTAAATCTTTTATCAGGAATGACACTAAAGACACAATGAGGGTGAAGGGGAAACAGGACAAGCCAGAGGTCCAGGATGCACAAAGAGGTTGGAGAACCATCACTGTGAAGGTAGGGCTGAAACCAGAAAAGCAAGTTAAGGTCATGGAGACTATGAGATCTGCCAACTGCGAGAGGAGGAGGAGGGACACTAGAAGAAAAGGAAATCAGCAAGATATAGTAAGAAAAGGAGGACAGCTGACCTAGAGAGATGGGAAAGATGACTAGGTTGAAGAGGAAGAGTTACTGCCCCCAAAAGAAGCATGAGACCTCATTGCTGTCTTTTTGAAGCCGGCAGAAGACTGTCAGAGAGACAGGTCTGAGGCCACTCTGACAGTCCAGAGAAGGGAAGAGGCTGAGAAGAAACCAAAGAAGAGGACTGAAGCTGTAAGGGAAATCATGGTGCCCCAGGCTCTCGGAGGCTGAGTAGATGGAGAAAAAAGGGTTTGATGAGACCAAGAAATGTTTATTTAAGATGCAGAAAATATGAGTAGACCTAAAAAGGAGAGCAAGGGAACCATGGGAGGAGTGTGTATAGATGATAATTGGAGTAGTGAGTGGTAAAGCTGGTGAGAGGAAGGTGGGAATTGATGGGGTCAAGGATGTAGACAGAAGCCTATGGTGCAGGGAAAAAAAAAAAGTGTGTGCCGTGAAGAGGGAATCTCTTCACTCTTTCTCCTATTCATGTCATTGGGAAGGCACAGCAGATTATAAATTCATGTCAAGGATACTGAGGTATTCAGTGGTGCGCAGGGAAGCCTGATGAGTTCATGAAGTGGAAAAAAGGGAGAAGAGCTTGGGAGACTGACAGCAAAACTGAATGTTTCCTACCACACTGAGGGAAAGAAGGAGGATCCTTCTTTACAGAACCAAGGTCCAGAGGATGTTGATCCCCATTATATACATGATACTCAGCTTTGATGTTTTCTCCCTCAGCTGGCAGCTGGTTTATTTTCTGCAGCGATTTGTACTGGGCAGCTGGGCTTAGAATAATGAAAATATTCTTCCCAGTTGCACTGCTCCCATCCCCTCTGAGGTTGTCCAGCTGGGAGGAGGGATGGGGAAGCTGAGAGTGACATTTCAGGAAACCATCCCACCTTGGTAACAGAGCACCTACCCTCTCCTTACAGGGGTCACCACGGTACTTACAATGACCACCATCAACACGCACCTGCGGGAGACTCTCCCCAAGATACCTTACGTCAAGGCTATTGATGTTTATCTCATGGGCTGCTTTGTCTTCGTGTTCCTGGCACTCCTGGAGTATGCTTTTGTCAACTACATATTCTTCGGGCGAGGCCCTCGGCAGCAAAAGAAACAGAGTGAACGGATCAGCAAGGCCAACAATGAGCGCCACCGTTATGAGGAGAAGAGGGTGAGAGAGCAGGTTTGTCCCCTTCTTTCATTGTGGCAGGAGAATGCACTCTCTCCACTGTTCATTCAGCCCTGGGTGAGCTGTGGAGCAGCCTTTCTCCTCATCACGAGAGATGAACTCCACTTCCCCTGTGCGTTGATTACTCCCTGATCATTTTGTCATCATCCTCCTTACCAGGACCATCCTCTTGCACGGGGCAGGTGTAGCCAAAACTACCCCTGTGGCTTTTGGTCCTACTGTGTCGGCAGAATTACACTATCCTGCTCAAAAGTTTGCTGCAAGCACATGTGGCTAGTCCTTCAGCTCCAGCGTCAGTGGACAACATTTTCAACTGCAGCAGTCCAGGTTCAGAGCACACAAATGACCCAATCAGTGGTACTGTTACACAGAAAGCTGCTCAAAGTCATCCCCGATGGTGTGGCTGTGTGCCTTGAGCGCAGGACATCCCCGCTACCTTACTCTCTCTCTTCCCTGTTCTAGGTTGACCCTTACGGTAACATCCTCCTCAGCACTCTGGAGATGAACAACGAGCTGCTGGCCACGGACATGATGAGCAGCGTTGGCGATTCTCGAAACTCTGTCATGTCCTTTGAAGGTTCAGGAATCCAGTTCCGCAAGCAGCTGGCCTCTCGGGATGGATTTGGTCACCACCCAACCCTGGACCGCCACGTCCCACTGACCCACCACGCTGCGGCCCGCAACCGTGCCAACTGCCGTCTCCGCCGGCGGTCGTCTAAGCTGAAGCTCAAAATCCCAGACCTGACAGACGTCAGCACCATTGACAAGTGGTCACGAATCATTTTTCCAATCACCTTTGGATTCTTCAACCTTGTTTACTGGTTGTACTATGTAAATTGATGCCTGCAGCCTCCGAGAGAGATAGGGACAGACACTCAGACAATGACAACACAGGAGTGTTGTGGTCTTTTGGGTTTGGGTTTTACTCTTTACTATCATTATCATTTCTTCCTTTGATTCATTAGATTTATTCTAAGCTTACTCTTCTCTTTTCAGCACATGTAGAACCACAGAGTGTCGGGGGGGGTGGGGATAAGGGAGAAAAGGGTATAAGGGAGGGGGTTTGGTTTCAGGG